GGCTTTGGAGGCTATCCTGGAACTAGCTCTTGTAGACCAGGCTGGTCTCAAACTCACAGACATCTGCCTGCCTCTGCCTCCCAAGTGCCAGGATTAAAGGCATGCGCCACCACTGCCAAGCTGGCTGTGTCTGTCTTACAGAGTGCAGACAAAATACAAACCCAGACCTCTCTGCCCCACTTTCGTCTATGTCATTCAGGGCAGGATAACACAGGGTGACACATGTCTTCACTTCTGAATTAAAAGGCTGCTCCCCCCACAGCCAGGATGCTGTCTTTCTCTCTGTCTCTCCCTGGTCCTCCAGCTTTCTCCTCAGCTTCTACCCTGCTGCGGCGTTGCTCGTTGGTCTAATGTTGTCTTAACTTCTTGTCTTGGAGCAGAGCAGCACTTCCCGGAGGTGATGCTGGGGGAAGAGTTTCTGAGCTTAAGTCTGGACCAGGTGTGCAGCTTGATATCCAGCGACAAGCTGACTGTCTCTTCAGAAGAGAAGGTACTGTGCCCTCTGGTAAAAAGAGAATCTTACTTTAAAAATCCCTTTAAACTGAAAAAGAAAATGGAAGGGCCTTTACATTCTGAGTCCCTTAAAGAGGTGACAGGGATGCCGATGACAAGAAGCTTCTACTGACCCAGGACTCAGATCACCGTGCCCAGCACTTAAGTCCTCTGCTGTCTGTCCCTTAAAGAGGTGACAGGGATGCCGATGACAAGAAGCTTCTACTGACAGGGCACGCAGATCACCGTGCCCAGCACTTAAGTCCTCTGCTGTCCTTTCCTTCTTTCCACCTTCACTGTAGCCCAGATCTTCTTAGTCCACCCACTATTCAAGTGTCAGGCCCTTTCCTGAGGAAATATCCAAGGAGAAATACACAGAGGAGTTTATATCGTGGATGATTTTGTTGGATGGTGTGTGTCTAGAGGTAAAACTTGCAAGTCACTGTTTTCCTAGGAAAGTTTGGTTGGAAGAGCAGTTGCGTTTGGAACTATGGGTCCTGGGCCCCCAGGACATCCATCAGGTGACTGGCACAGCAAAGTAGATTCTGCCCTGGCTGGGGGAGGGCTCAGCTGCCATTACTACCATAGACACACCCTTCAATGAGAAGTGTCTCCAGGCAGGCTGCAGGCTTCTTCCTGCTGTAGCCCCAGAAGCCAGGTGGACACTTGTCCTTTTTGCTAAGCCTGTTGACTATCCTGGCTGGATTTTTGCTGCCAGATTAACACAACTGAAAGATATGAACTGTGCGCTAGTTTATGCCAACTCGACACAAGCCAGAGTCATCTGAGAGGAGGGAGCCTCAACTGGGAAAATGCTTCCATAAGATCTGGCTGTGGGCAAGCCTGTAGCACAGCATTTTCTTAATTAGTGATTGATGGGGGTGGGCCCAGCATGTTGTAGGTGGGGTCACCCCTGGGTTGGTGGTCCTGGGTTCTATAAAAAGACAGACTGAGCAAGCTATGAGGAGCAAGCCAGTAAGCAGAGTCCTCTATGCCTCTGCATCAGTTCCTGCCTCCAAGTTCCTGCCCTGTTTCAGTTCCTGCCTTGGTGTCCCTCAGTGGGCTGTGATTCAGGGTATGTAAGCCTTTGTTTATTTAAAACATTTCCTCCAAAACTTGCTTTTGGGGCATGGCTTTCTAGAATCCACGCCAGTGTACCCTGATCAGAAAGCACAGTGAGTCTGTTTGCTGTGGCAGGGTGGGAGGCTTGGGTGGGCTGTTAGGGGGGTGGAGGCGTCACCAACCCTGAAAACCACCAGGGCTTGGGATTCAGGTGAGCCTGGGCCCAGTCTCTGCTTGCTGCCTGTGTAACTCTGGGAAATCTCCTTAAATATAAAATAATAATAATGCCAAGAGCAGTACCTCCCTCTGAG